TAAAGGTATCCGTTGCCAGTGGATAGTACCCATGCATCCAATTCCGTCAGTGGCATGGAGGTATGCCGCTTTAGCTTCATCGTTTTAAGTCTAGCAACTAGGGGTGACTAGTAGATGATGAACACAAAGAATCACAGAAACACAACTGTTTTACAAGAGGCAACATCTTGTTGGCATCGTGTTTTGGACCAGTACTGTGTCCCTGTTGTTTGATCCCCCTCCAAAGCAAATGCTGTTTGAGGAGGCGACAAGATGCCGTGAGATGTTAAGTACCTTGGAAGCTGATGTGTTTTGGTGTGACCATATTGTGTAATTCCATGTCAATGTAATTCCTGAATTAAAGCCGTGAGACACAGCATCTTATTACCCACCTTTTCAATGTCAAACTTTGATTTTTCTGGAAATCAATGGTCAGTCAGTTGGAGAATATACTGAGATTCCCGCCTCAGACTGAGCACTGCGGAGTGCATGCAGAATCTGCGTCAACTGAGGAAATATTGAAAAGTTTCTTGTCAGAGATGTCCTGGGGAAGATGATTGCGGTGTGGCCATCGCGATGGCGAAAAACGGAGTCATGAATATCATACTGTATGCTTTTGCCTTTCCTATCCTTTCCTCTTTCGTCACAATGCGTTTGATCCATTTCGCGTTTTTGGTAGCACATGCTGACATTGATTGTGATTGGTGCCTGCGTCACCTCCGTAGCACATGCTCCCAAAAAACGGCGTCATTGATTTGTGACATTGATTTTGCTGTTGGCAGTGTACTCTTTGCCGGAATATTTGCCAACGGGACTGTTAAAACGGCATGAAGGTGTCGTATGTTTAACAGAGTGATACGCAGGCATCTTGGAATTCTTGCAGGCACTGTGCGTGATTGACAGTTTCCAACACTCAGCAGCTGAGGGGTACCAACACTGAGCCGATCAACCAGGAGTTCCGCAAGTGCGTGGCATGGCTTGAGCTGTTGGACTACTTTGACGAGTAGTGGGAAGGTTGATACTGCTGTGAATGTTGTTGAAGTGACATTTGAATTCCCGAAAGACATGAGTGAAGTCATAGCTCAAGAGTTCTTTTTGATTGACTGATACTCCGTTCATTTACCATGGCAACTTGCAGTGGACGATTTACAAAGGCTCACCAGAAGATGAAACTCTTCCAGCTAGCCCTATTTTGTTTAACACGTTGTTATTTGAATGCACTTACCTATTCCAGTCCATCATGGCCTTTTCGTGGCTTTTTCAATCTTTTTCATATTGCATCTATTTGGTGCTTTTGGATGTTTTGGATGTCTTGGGTGCAGATCACAAGGTATATTACCTCATATTACCTCAGGCAAGGGTAGGGTACTTTGATCCAGGCTGTCCATAGGCTGGACGGTGGCTCCCTCCCAAACACAATGCCACAATGCTCAGACCAAAGTGTCGGTGAAACGAAGCAGCTTCGGTTTCAAGGCGTAAAAAAAAAAAAAAACAAAACATACCGACGTGATCCAAGTGGAACGCTGAGTTTCTCTTCAAGAATCGCTTGGTCACACAATGTCAAGTCCTTCACTTTGCCGTGATGGAGGCCGCCAGGCTTCAAAATGGTAGCTTGGCAGCATCAAACCGTTGTTGGCAGCGTTCATTTTCTGCGTGTTGGGGTTTGGAAATCGTTAAGTAGGATACAGGATAGGATGATGAATATGAAGTTTCGCTTGGTAGTACGGAAGTACACGCACCTTCCTTTTGAAGTTGAGTTTTCATATTTTAAAGAGAACAGTGTGGGCCGGCAAGATCGCATGAAACTGCCAACGTTGCGGCGACTCGTTGGACAGAGTTTGTCCCCGGTGGTCAAAGTTCACACTCAGCATGAGGACGTTGCGTGAGACAAGTGCTGGAAGCAAAAGCAGACGTCTTTAGCAAAGCTTTGTATATGACTGTCAAGATGCTTGGCTTTGATTATATAAATGATATGTTTTTCTGTTTGTGCTCCTAGCTTCATAAATGTCGATTTACTGAACAGCATCCTCCACAATCGTCCTGCTGCAGCCCCTGCTGCACCCAGGAATGATGTGCCTAACCTGCACGATAAGTTGGGGGTTGGTATGGCTCAGCACACGTAAAGCAGCTGCTTTGGAGCACCATCCGGACCTTGGAGCAACCTCCTTTCTCTCACTGTATATAATACAACCTTGATATGCACATTATGTTGGCATCTGGTTATTAAATCCTCGTCCCCATCCACATCCAATTATACTTAGGGCCGCACATACTTCTTGGGGACTCCAGCAAGTGTTGCTGAACAAATTCTCTAATTGCAAACGAATACATGGTTGTCATCAAAGGGTTGAGGTAGGAAAGGGTTATCAAGAGGGTTGAGGTAGCAAAGTATTTTACTTTAAAGAGGATTTGGAAAGCTAACTACATTTACCCAACATTCCAGAAAAAAAAACAACAGTGATTCGGCTAAGGGGTGTATTTTTTAATAGTGGTTCGGAGGTGGTTCGAGGCTACTGCTTTTTTTCTCTGCGTTTTCAAACAAGGGATTAGAAAAGAAATCGATGCATTCAGATCTTTGGGGATTTTGAGATTTGGATTCAGAATTGGTGGATTGTTTGCACTAAAACACTACAGGGCTTAATTAAGTGGAGTTGATAATTTCTTCAGTATCAAAAGCTATCAAAATACAAGAATCAAGAAACATATAAATGAAAAGCAACAGATATAATCATATAATATTAATATAACGTATCCCCAGTATCCTCCTTAAACAGGTCGGCCGACTTTCTTGTGAGGGTTTTGCAAATCCGTCCCAGGCTTTGGCTGGCATTGTGGGGATAAATAATCGGATGTGAACAATATTCAATCATATTCAATCATATTCAATCACATTCAATATCATTCAATCATATTCAATCATATTCATATGCTGTCATGAAGCAGATGGAAGTTTTCTTTGGCAAATTTGATTCGGCGGCAAACCAGGTATATAGACAAAGTCCAAAAAGATACGTTTAGTAGGTCTTTACAACGGATGGGAATTCCATGAACATCACTGAGATTAACCATACAAGGGATTGCGGGACTGCAACTATGGTCCAAAGCTATCGAGCCATATTGAGGCGCCAAGTTGGCTGAATCCTGCTTTTGTAGCAGTTTCTTGCCCAGCCTTGCTCTGTTATATCACCGAGTCGCCAAACCAGGTCGCCAAATGACGCGTCACCCCAGCATCGCCCAGGCAGCATACGAGACGGAACTCAATGCCATGCACATCGCTGCAGGATTGGGTTCTTGCGAAGCAATGGAGGCATTGAGCCATGGTACTGCTGAAAGCGATCTGCCACGCCGCTGGGCAGCTGGGGGATCTTTGGGGGTTGGGTGATGCTGTTCGATGGAAACAAATGGAGAAGGACTGATAGTCGATAGTCGGAATCCAAGCTGTTCCAAGATGAATTTGGGATATCTCAGGGTTTAGTTGATGCGTCACGACGGCCTTCCTTGCCCCAAAGCTTGAAGGCCAAAGGCTATAAAGCAAAGATAACTTAGCCAGCAAGATATTTGGCTGCAGCGATGTTTCAAGAGACTAGTTAGTTTGTATAGCTTCATTTTATACTTTATTTAAGCGCTTACGCGCGACAGCCGGCCAGGGGCCCAACTATGTTGGCCCATTTTGTGGCTATGTTGGCCTATGTTGGCGTATGTTGGCCTATCTTGCGGGCAATGTGGGCCCATCTTGTGGCTATGTTGGCCTATGTTGGCCTCATGTTGACCCACGTTGAGCCAAAAGATCTGAAAAATGGGAACAGCCAGAAAAACACTGTAAAACGCAGGATATTTTGATGGTCGGCGGCCTATCTTGGGGCTATGTTGGCCCATCTTGGGGCTATGTTGGCCTATATTGAGGGCAATGTGGGCCTATCTTGGGGCCTTTGTGGCCCATCTTGGGGCTATGTTGGCCCATCTTGGAGCTATGATGGCCCATCTTGGGGCTATCTTAGCCCATCTTGGCCGCTAGGTTGGCCCATCTTGGGGCTATGTTGGCCCATCTTGCGGCCTATGTTGGCCCATGTTGACCCATCTCGAGCCACAAGATCCGAAAAATGGGAAAAAGTGGGAAGAGCACAAAACACCGTAAAACGCGGGACTTTTTGGCGGGCAAAGGTGTCTCCGGCAGGGGCGGCGGCCCGTCTCTCCTACGGAGAGGAGAGAACTGCCGTACGGCAATGCCACGGCCAGGGGGCCCCTGGCCGGATTTGGGTTTGGGGTTGGTGGGTTGGGGTAGGTCGGTTGGAGTTTGCGCTGGAGGGTTTGGGGTTGGTGGGTTGAGATGGTCAGTGGTGGGTTGTGCTTTTGGGTTTGGGGTTGGTGGGTTGGGGTTGGTTGGTCGAGGGTTGTGCTGGAAGGTTTGGGGTTGGTGGTGGGTTGAGATGGTCAGTGGTGGGTTGTGCTTTTGGGTTTGGGGTTGGTGGGTTGGGGTTGGTTGGTCGAGGGTTGTGCTGGAAGGTTTGGGGTTGGTCGGTCGTGGTTAGTGCTTGCACGTATGGAATTGATTGGTTGGGGTAGGGCCCATCGCAATCGTTGTCGAGTCCTGTGTGCAAGCGGGGTTGGGGTTGGCCGGTCGGCGTTTGTGCTGTCGGGTTTGGGGTTTATGCTTTCGAGTTGGTATGCGAAGTAAGCTGGTTGCAGGTCCCGTCGCAGTCATTTTCGCGTCCTGTGTGCAAGCGGGGTAGGGGTTGGCCGGTCGGGGTTTGTGCGGTCGGGTTTGGGGTTTGTGCTTTCGAGTTGGTAGGTCGGTGGTGGGTGTTGCTGGTTTGTGAAGTAAGCTGGTTGCGGCTCTGGGTTCTGCTTGGGGTTTGTGCGGTCGGGTTTGGGGTTTGTGCTTTCGAGTTGGTAGGTCGGTGTTGGGTGTTGCTGGTTTGTGAAGTAAGATGGTTGCGGCTCTGGGTTGTGCTTTGAGGTTTGGGGTTGGTGGGTCGGTGTTGCTGGTCGGTTGTTTGTGGTCTGTGGGCATATCTTGAGGCTATGTTGGCACATCTTGGGGGCTATGTCGCCCCAGCTTGAGGTTATGTCGGCCCATGTTGGGGCTATGTTGGCCCATCTTGGGGCCATGTTGGCCCATCTTGGAGCTATGATGGCCCATCTTGGGGCTAGCTTGACCCATCTTGGGCGCTATGTTGGCCCATCTTGGGGCTATGTTGGCCCATCTTGCGGCCTATGTTGGCCCATGTTGACCAATCTTAAACCACAAGATCCGAAAAATGGGAAAACATGCGAAGAGCACAAAACACCGTAAAACGCGACAGTTTTTGGCCCTACCGGGTGGTCGGCGGCTGGGGCAGCGGCCCCTCTCTCCTACGGAGAGGAGAGAAACGCCGTTCGGCAATGCCACGGCCAGGGGGCCCCTGGCCGGATTAAGGGCTGCCGCCCCTGCCGCCGACCCCGGAAAAGAATAAGTAAAGGTTCTCTTGCCGAAGTAAACATTCGTAAGGTTCCGCATGTTTTGCGGACCATGCAACTGTTCGAGAAAGTGAAACAATATCTGGCAAAATATACCTGATGCAGATGACTTATAGGCCTTGAGCAGGTGCCGCAATGTTCCAATTTGATCAAGGGCTGGTGAAACAGGCAAGAGTGACGAGACAGTTGACATGAAGCTTGCTCTGAACTGAACAACACATGTATGTGCATTTGGGCTGAGAGACCTAACAAAGGTTCCAGGAAGTTGGTGCGCTAGGACTCAGCGGCCGATGTGTCAAGAAAACACATGTTATCAGTTGCACAAAAACGCCTCCACAGCAATAACGATTCTCAAGTACGAATGTCCAATCTGTCGCGCTGAACGGGATACCAAGCGTCTAGTTGCCGTGGACGCAGACGATCCTCGCTTCGTAGAAGGTTTCAGCATGGCGCGGGGGATTTTCCACACGAACGGGGTGAAGTGCCACGTGAATAAACTTCGCGCGGAACAATGGGCGCGGCAGCATGGGCAAATAATCTATTATGCAGTGGCTACGGATAAGGTATCATCGCGAGCTTTGCACGAAAAGCCCGACATCGCCCAAGACAAGCTCACATGGCTGCAACGCAGCGATGCTGATTGCGGGAATCGGTATGGTATTCTTCCGCTGTGCATTGGTATGCCTGTACAAGCGCGGGAACACCTCCACCGGAAGGATTTCAAGATCTTGAAAGGGTGTCATGGAACCATTTGCGGGTGGTCAAGCATTGAGACAGAAACAGCGGCGGCAGATGGAGCAGTAATATGGAACAAACTCCCCGATTATATCTTCGTGCGTTTTGAGACGCGAACACGTTGGACAATTCCAGGCATCGATCAAGAGAACGTCTTCCCGGTCAGCATACAAAGTGCACAGTGGTTTCTAGACGCGGGCCGCACCAACCCACAATTGAAAGTCACCCGGTACCAATTTCCCATCGCGCCCGACTTCGCTGACACGTTTTACGGTGCACAAGGAAGCACAATAGAACCAGGCGTGATCGTTGACATGGTCGGTGCTGACCCAATAGCGGCGTACATTGGGATGACACGCTGCCGCACACGGCAGAAGATCTTGATCTATCGTCCGTTCCCGCTGGCACCTTTTCAAGCAGGTCTGCCGCTCGGACGGCAACTTCTGCTTGACGTGTGGAAGCAGGAGCCGGTGGACTGGGATGCGTTGCGAAAGAAGTACTTAGACGAAAGGCCTTGCCAAGAGTGTGGGGAGATGAAACGCAAAGACGCGTTCACCAAAGCACAATGGAAACAGGAAACATACCGCGTCTGTAAAGAATGCACCACGCAGAAGCGCGAGGCAGGAACACCGTACCGATGCACACAGTGCGGCCTGTGGCACGCCGCAGCACACTTTGCGTCAAAGCATCACAACCCGCGGTGGAGTCTTTACAGAGTTTGCTTATCGTGTGATGCAGTGAAAGAATGTTTCTCTTGCACGAAGAAGCTCACAAAAGAATATTTCACGGTGCCAGCATGGAAAGCAAGCAAGCCAGAGAGGAGGCTATGCCTACATTGTCAAAAGCAAGGAAAATGGACATGTGCACGCTGCCACCAAAAATTACCTACGCTGCAATTCTCCCATTATAACAAAATGCGCCCGGGCGGTGGTCAAAATGGCAGGCAAACTTGCAATGCTTGCCGTGCTATTGTCGTGCAAGCGAATGTGCGTAAGCGAGCTGCGAAGTCTAGCATACAACGTCTGCAATCTGTGCGTGAGACGCTGCGCCGTCGACAAATTCTCCGCGAGACATGGGAAGCAATCGCAGACCACAGAAAAAAACACACGCGCTGCGCGAGGACGAGCGAAAAAGAAGCCACAAATGAAGTTGCTACTGAGAAAGAAATAGATCAAGCCTTGCAAGTACCTCTTGCAACACCACAGCAGGAGCTTTATGTGTACACATGCCCTTTTTGCCAAGGTTCAGTTACTACGTCAACTGCTTCCGGACATATCAACCACCGACGCGTGTGTAGAAAACAGTTTCGCGTGCAAGATGGGCTTCTCCGGCCGACGCTGCCTACGATCCGCTATTCGCACACATGCCCGACTTGTGGGACCTGCGTGCAGAGCACCAAGAAATTTGGGCGAATCCAAAGCAAACACAAACAACCCAGTGGCCGCATGTGCCGCCTAACGCAATGGCACGCAAGCTGACAACAAACGACCAGTTGCAGTACTTTCTTGTCTGCCAAGGTACATCTTTTATATTCTTTTATATTCTTTTTATATTCTTTTATATTCTTTTATTAACAACTGCTGTGTTGCTTGTGGCAATTGCGGCCCGCCCACATGTGAATCCAGGCCCGCACCAGCAAAAAGGCTATAACGTATCTTCTCGAACTCTAGAATAATTCCGAAAAAATGCTTGAGGTGAGTTCTGCAACGCTACAAGAGCAGCATGTTTCAACACATTGTTCCTGCTGCTGCTGCTGCGAAAACAACAGCTCCCGGCATCTCCCCGTAACAAAACAGACTGGCACTAAAGGACGACCACAAACAGCATTTTCTGCGGTAAGTTCTGTTGCAGCTGCTACTGCTGCTGCTGCTGCCGCTGCTACTGCCACGGCCGCTGCTCTGGCTGCTGCCGCAGCTCCCGGCAGCAAAACACCATGGCCCTAAAGGACGGACCGAGTCCAAAATGTGCGTTTCTTACTGCTACTGCTGCTGTTGGAGTCACTGCTGCCGCTGCTACTGCCACGGCCGCTGCTCTGGCTGCTGCTGCAGCTCCCGGCAGCAAAACACCATGGCCCTAAAGGACGAACCGAGTCCAAAATATACGTCCTGCGGTCGGAACGTCCCTTCTGAAATCCTACAAAAAGCTTCCTGCTGGTGCGGAAAGTTATTATAATCAGTTTTTTACCTTACTGCTACTGCTGCTGCTGGACTCACTGCCG